GAATGGGCAGACAAGGCACTAGGAGAATACTGAAGGAATATCACAAGTTGCAGGCAGGCCAAAGAGTTCGTGGCTGGTCCGAGCAAATCAAGGAGGGACTGGCTGCTTTGTAGAGACCGCCAAGTACTCCGCCTCCTCATAGGAGTACTCATAGGACACAACAGGCTACGCAGACACCTAACACTTATAGGAATAGAGGACAACCCCACTTGCCGTAGATGTGGGGAAGACGAAGAAACGTCACTCCATTTTCTCGGCGAGTGCGAAACGTACGGGAGGCTGAGATTTGAAATCTTTGTAGTCGACAAACTCCAACAGGAGGAGTTGATCATATTAGTGTGGACGGACGTACTAACCTTCATCAAAAGGTCAGGAAGATTCGTAAAGGAAATTTAGGTGAAGGAAGCGTAGATATGTTAGCAAAAAGGGTCCATCGGGGCCTACTTGCTTGGCTACAGCTTCCCCACCTACTACTACTACATCATACGACAATGGTAATCAGACGAAAGAATCTTTGGTTGATTGTTAGTGAAGAGCTAGCGGCGCATCGTGGTCAGCTGCAAGCAGCCATTTAAGCAGTGAACCAAGAAGCAGGAGGCACACCATAGTGATACGTGGATTCATAGATTCATCAGTTGCAAAAATGATTTCTGAGAGTGAGGATAAAATGTTGAACGGTTGTGGGGTACGAGCTGTAGGTACTTGCAATGTCCGTCCGAAAGAGTTTTGTGCACATTATGAACTTGAATCGTCGTAAATGTGAACAGTATCACATCCTGTTCCACAAACTTGACTGAGAATATTTTTTGAATACATCCATATGAACTGCACTTCATTTGACTGTATCATACAGACCAAGGTATCTCCAAATCTGGTCCAATTTTTTACACGCTGAGACTGGATTGGGGGGCGTTTGCTGCTAGCAACATCTAAAATTATCGATGATATTATTGTCATTCTGGATACAGTTAGAGTCGTAATAAAATATGACACAGAACTCAGAACTAAGTCATAAACAAACGCTACTTGCAGGTTTTCTCGATGCGCCACTATGTTTTTACCCTTAGTGTCAACACAACGAAATGTTACAATATATGATTGAGATTATCAGCAATAATTATCAAAAACTTGAACATCAATGCTGAATGATTTCTTTCATTCAGTGCATATCAAAGACCATTTTATTTGATGCGAAAGTGTCTAATGAAAGAGGCTTTACCTTCTTAATGACATTTTGGCATGTCAAGTTCTGACGAGACATGGACTCTATAATTGACCGGATTGATTAATTTCATGTTTCAACTTGTTCGGTAATGTGTGATCTGGTCTGTTCGATTTAATACGCCGAGGAAACGGAGGGCATTCTCAACGTATGAAAAGAAACTCAGAAATCAGGCAGCTTTCAAGGTTCACGTGACTGGTCAGTGATGTTATGATATTGTTGAGAGTCACGCAACAGCGAAGCGGTATATAGAAAAATCTTAATATTCACGCTAAGAAGACACAATCCGTTGAAAGTGTTCTGATTTGGTTCGTGCATGCTCTCTCGAAATAGAAAGCATTCCTAAAAAAATGACCTCTGATCAGGATTGCAATCAATGCACATGGAACCTTGAAATTTCCTTTGACCCTTCAGCTCCTACAATCGCTTTGTAAGAGTGAACTGAATTCAATAATAATTCATCAAGACATTATAATGAAATTGGAAGACTCTACTATATATTCATATATAAACCTTGTTGAATTTTTGCAGTTCCTTGAAATAATATCTCACTATTGATTAGTGATCGATTGAAATTCGATTGTTTTCGTCTGATATTAAGAAAGAGAAATTGATATATACCAGGTGTCCCAGTATACCTGTTCCAATAGATTATCTCAGCAATTTCGAGAAATGAAAATTTGAAAGAGTCAAAATCAAGATTACAAAAATATCGTAGCCTACTGCAATTCGTTCAATTTGAAATTTCGATTCCCGTTTCTCGAACGGTTATTTTGAGTAGAAATGAAAAATTGGAAAAAAATACAGGGTGCTGTTTCGAGATCATGAAATTTCAGAATTTTTATTTTTCGAAATAGCTGAGATAATTCATTGGAACAGGTATACTGGGACACCCGGTATACGTATTCTTTATTTTTTTCGTAGGATCAAATTCCACTTCAGAAAAATATATGAAATAAAAGAGGAACTTGGCTTCTCCACCATTCCTATGACGTACTTTCTGAAAATCCACAATCACACTGAGTTAAAATACGATTTCCTGTGCCAGTACGACGTTGCCGACATCATCTGTATCTCTAGATTTCCGAAAATTGATCTTTTGATGCATAATAACTATATTATAACAATAATGAGATATAATAGGTTCTTCAATTCTACTCGGTCAAGTATTATGAATAACTCCCATTAATCTCTCATTGGCTGAATGAAGTTGAAAGATTAATAATGATATTTCGAGATAGTATCTATAACTTTTTACTATCGCTATATTACAATACTTCAAGTATTCATAACTTGTCATTCATTTTTGTGCTAATGAATTCGTTCTTCCTAAATGAAACGAATCTATTTGCTATGAAAGTTGCAGATTATTATATCTTGCAACAGCGCCTAATACTTCGAGTCCGTCTACACCACTCAAAATACTGACAGGCACAACGAAAGGAAGAGGCCATGGGTGTCGGCTTCATTTTGTTCTGACCGATGGCAGTAAATTAGGAAGGATAGCATCATTGAATGTAGCCGATAGTGATTCATTGATTCAATGATATTTTCGTTTAGGATCGAGCTCTATTCGAGATATGTCAATGCATAAATAACAAAACCATAATTTGTCAGAATGAAGCCAACTACCCTCGGCATTCCTGCTATGAGTGCATTTGTGGTTATGTATGTTTTCGTTTACTAGTTTTACTTCTTCTATTTTTTTCATTCGTTTTCCATTTGTTAGCTATTCGTTAGCTATTCTCTAGCTATATTCTTCACCATCAGCTATTTTCAGACTAGATTCAGAATATACGTCACAGTTCGTCGCCCTGAAAATCAGAAATTGCTTTAATTTGAAAATGAAAACGACTTGGACTTTATCGGTCGCCATTTTGTACAGCGTGGACATAAAACTGGAGATTTCCGAACTCATTTTATGAAAATTCATCTGAAGGAAACTTCCCCATTGCCATATACTCTGGTGGTCAGGTAGTGATAGGCAATCACTTCCTACCAAGTCAAGACTTGTCTGGAACAGCTTGAGTGACTTTACTGAACTAGGCATATATGCAATACAAGTACTCTGGCTTAGGTGATATGTCACAGAGACAACTTTGACAACGAGCGTGATAACGCATATATAGGTAAAAAATTTGAACAACAATGTGAGAAATGTGACTTGCAACTTTTCCCTCATCTTTTTTAAAAAAATTTAGAATAAATAAGTAACTGTTAAGTGTGATTATACAAATGTTAGTCTCCTATGATCCACGTAAGCAATCTTGCACAGTATGTCATCATTTATTTTACAATTCTATACTTTTAACAACGTTGTAACTAACCTCGCCAAAGATTTTTCCTGATGATGGAAATAAACATTTCCGAAAGCTTGGATAAACTTTAAAGATTATTCCTTTTACACTGCTGGTACCCCCAATATACATTGGTTTCATTCCTACTGGTCAGCAACGACTTCGCATTCCCCATGTAATGAAAATATTAATTCTTTCTCAGTTTATTCAACAGAAAACAACAACTTTCCTGGATATATATTATTGCCACGAGGAATATTGAATTACATCTATCGAACACACACGATAAGAATTTAAAAAAACAAAATCCTCTGAAGGAGAGAATTTGCATTCTCCTTCATATGAAGAAATGCATATAATATCATTCTGAATATTCAAGGGGTTCAAACTTGAACGATGGAAACTTGTTACTCTTATTGACCTCAATCGCAGATTCGTGATTAGGTTTTCTTAATTCAGAATTTCTTTCCACGTCCTGTATGATGAATGTCAATTTATCATACATCCAAAAATCAAAAGATTTGTTCGCCAAAATTCAGATTGGATCTCCTCAGCGGAAAGAGGAAGACAGTAAGGCCAATAGTAGGCCTGTTGATAGGCCATTGCATAGTCAATAGCCATATAAATCAAATGGACCTTTTGGAATAAGCGCTATCCTACATAATACTGCCAGGAAGAGGAGGAAACTGCAATTTAACATTGCCACGGTAGCAATGATGATGCGATTTCTGAACGTTGGAGAGGAAGGAAGCAAAAAGTTGCCTCATCTACCTAGTTGATCGTAGTAGTTAATCGTCTTATCGAAAATTTTATTTTCAGACCATAGATCTCACAAAATGATGATAAAAAACGATTGCCTTCCCTACTAAGAACCGCTTTTGATCCGATATGCATACATTACGATGTCAAGTTGTCATTTTCAGAGAACTAAAGAAGCAAGAATAAATAAATGAATAGTTCGTTTCCATGAAATGAATAAATTTGTTATCATATACCCACTCCTTCTGTGATAGTCATTCCATGAACAATGTTTTCTTCAAGGATTTGATAATTCCCCTCGCTTTTCTATAATTCACCCCGGTTTCCATGAAGGAACAGTGAAATTTACCCTTGGATATCACACGATATCGGACATTTCAAGTCCAAGAAAGTGCAAAGACCTGCGACTTGCTGTACCCCTGATCGATGAATGTTTTAAATTGCAAATTTCAGTGAGAACAGCTATGCTAATATAAATTTGGAGAATGTGGTCATAAATATAAATACAGCGAACAAAATAATTGCCATTTCAACACCGGCAAACTGGCCAACCAACTCCATCTATCCACAGTCATTTGTAGATTGTAGTTACCGATCAAATAGCGTGACTTGTATTTGTTGTGAGACCGTTGTTGAAAGCAGTAAACTGCACTTGTTACTTCTGGTAGGTATAGGTTTAACTAGCACCAAATAATCATCACTCAAAATACAGTAAATGTTCATATATGAAATCTTTCACCCAACAATATTTGTTTATTGATAAGGATATGGATAACTATTGTATATTAAACCAACAATGTGGCACATTCATTTATTTCTTATCCAGTACGGAAATATATTAGTGAATTCTAGTGGTTCTGATCCCGCTTCAGAAAACTTAACTGACATCAGTTTCCTAGGAGAAATCTTTGTTCTCTTCAAGTACTCAAATGCAGTTTCTTCAGCTAGCTCAACCAGTTTGGAAAATTCTTCATCACCATTTTCTGACCCTTTCCATATCCAAATATCTGACTGGTTAACCAACAGGAATAAAGCTGAAATTGAATCTATATTAATCAATAATTCTATAACTTCATGGAATGTTATAAGTTACCAGGTTGATCTGCGCTGTAGAGATGTGATTGTAGGAATGGGAATGATGCAATGTGATTAGCAGACCTCAGAGGATATTCTACCTCAGTTAGCAAAAACTCTCCTGTGATGGTGTTGCAATAAAGAAGACGTGGTGTGAAATTCGGTACCTCGTGAATATGCGAGTAAGAACTATCATCATTGATGAATAAGAAATCTTCTTGACCTTCACTCAGTTGTTTGGTTCCAAAGTGGCTCCATGTATCATCAACGGTTCTCAGAATCTGATCAAGTTTCAAGCTTGGGAGTAGGGATTTCAGTTCTGCTGAGACACATGCTCCCCACCAACTGAAGATTGCTTTCTCTGTCGGAACCACTAGGAGGAAGACAGCTTTACTTCTGAGGCTGCTTTTAGCAAAGACCACCTCATATATGTGTATTTCTTCTCTCAGCTCTCCTCTTACCATGAACAAATGAGGAATTTTTGTATCAAAATCAATTGACTTTCCGTCTAATACAACTAAATTTCTCGGAAATATATGGAAGAACGTAGGGGGTTCACTCCATTGGCAAATCCTTTCGACGATGCTTGTGGCTTCATCAAAATTGGGAGGTACAGGAGAGAATCCTTTGTTGGCATGCCACCCTTTCCAGTGATAGAAAATTGTTCCAATATTTACCTTTTCACTGCCGATCAGTCGATATTCGAAATTCCATTGTATAATGTACGTTTCAGCACTGAACAAAATTCCATTGTTGCTCTCCTGTTTTTCCAGGATGTCTTTCTTTATCATCCAACAGGTCGATGATATAGTTTTTGAAATATGGTCTGCATTTTTATTGACATGTGCTAATCCACGACCAAATTTGTGATAGTCAAATAAAAAATAGGGCTCCTCACTAGGCTTGTTCAATAATTCATCAATTTGCCTGTCCATTGGCCCAATGAAAAATCACAACAATTTGTTTAATAACAATTAACACACAACAAATACTTATTCTGTATTAACACCGGAGATAGTGTTCACCAGACACCAGACCACAGATGAAGCATATTATGAGCATATAAATGAAGTCAATAAATAAGCGGTGACTAAATTTAACACACCGTGCGATATAATAGCTATGTGAATGGTCACAACACTGCTTTCATTCTCGATCAACGAGATAGTAATCTATTCACATACATAGATGGATCCCTGCTACAATATATACTCATTAAACTCGTTTTGATAAGTCTTTCAACCAAGAATTGAGCGACTTCAAAATGTAGGTACGCGGTCCCCTGTAAGTAACAACAATGAGTAAAGAGAGTTGTAACATTTCTCGATGAATAGAGATATAACCTGTCCTTGAAATATGATTCCATATGATTCGGTCATTTTGGACGAGGACTGGCGTGGTATTCATTCAGCACTCCGAATGAATGTTTGGCCCATTGCTTAACAAATGATGATGGCTATATACCTACTTCCCAAGTATAGGTAAGTACCCACTACCCAATTTACGTCTAGGGAGCGAGATGGTCATGAATTTAGACCAATCAAAATGTGCGAAGTCTATTTTGTACACTTTTAACCCTCAACTGGTATCGTGGGGTGTTTCGGTACCCCACTAGTGATAATTTTGCGATAATCATATATTCTCAATTAAATCATTAGTGATTTGTTGTTTCATGTATTCTCCAAGTCCGTGCATGATATCTAGGAATTCGTAGTATTTTTTTCTGCAAAAATCAAATCAGTTTCGGAAATAAAGAGTAATTGGAGTGCGCCAATTATACCCCTGTCAGTTTATTTACTATGGATTGCATTTTTTTTTCTTGTCACAGGCGTCAATGATGGCAGTAATTGTTTTTTTATCGCTTGGAGCGCACGAAAGGGAATCCCTATAATGTTCAAAGAAAGTCGTGCGTTCCTAGGGAGGATAAGGATAGGAGGTAGGTATTGGAATTTTTTTTGAACTTCTGGAGATTATATGTTGTTGGGAATACTTCCTCAGGCAATGAATTCCAGAGCCTAGCCGTTCTGTGGATGGAGGAGTTTTGATAAAGTGCTGTTCGACATCTTTCGAGGTTGACAACGAAAGGATGTGCTGACTGGGCTTGTCTAGTTCGCCTGACTGGTATTGCTAGTGAAGGGATGATAGCAGAGATTTCCGAAGCACATTTCCCGTGGAAGTATCGATAGAAAAGTGAAAGGTCGCCGACCTTTCTACGGTGTTCCAATGATGTCAAAGACTGAGTGAGTGTGGCGTCACCCACCAGGCGGATGGCTCTTCTCTGGATGGAATCTAAGAGCATCAGCGTATGTTTTGGTGCTGAACCCCATATGTGGGAACAGTATTCTAGAACAGGCCGTATCTGAGCTTTGTAGATCATGAGAAGCTGTTGAGGTGTAAAGTAGCTTTTCGCACGGAACAAGAATCCGAGTTTTTGTGAGGCAGCTTTTGCGATGGATCTGACATGATTATCCCATGAAAGAGTGTTGCTGATGGAAATACCGAGCATAGATATGGTGGGCTTGGTGGAGATGGTGGTGCCAGACATTACGATGTCGGGCATACTGAGTTCCGCCTTTCTAGAGAAAATACAGGCTTGAGTTTTGGTGGCGTTGAATTCAACTAGGTTGTTGGTTCCCCGTTGAATTCAGCAAGGTCTTCATTGACAACATTGACCTGCTTGCGCCGTGAGTTCTTAGTTTCCTGGGAAGAGATGGGAATTCTGGATGAGAACGCAGTATGGAGGGTACTATCATCTGCGAAGCTGTGGATGGGGCAAGTTGTTACTCCCAACAGATCATTGATATGCAGAAGGAATAATGTTGGTGCCAAAATTGATCCTTGTGGAACGCCGGAATTGATGCCAATGGTATCAGACGATACACCGTCCACCACCACATGAAGCGATCTGCCTGAAAGAAAACTCGATAAGAGATGGCATGGCTGAGGTGGTAAGCCGTATGATGGTAGTTTGTAGAGGAGTCCTTTGTGCCAAACACGGTCAAATGCTTTCGATATGTCCAACGCGACAGCTAAAGATTCCCCGTGTTTTTCTAATGAAGCTTGCCATAAATGGGTGACGTAGGCAAGTAGATCTCCAGTAGATCTCCGGTGGCGAAAGCCGTATTGTCTATCATTGATGATTCCTGAGCTCTCCAGATATTTGATGAGCTCAATGTTGATGGCTTTCTCCATCACTTTGAAGATCACTGGTAACAGGGCAATGGGCCTGTAGTTGTTGGGCAGGTTCTTGTTCCCTTTTTTGAGGATTGGTTGGACTCTAGCTGTCTTCCAGCATGATGGAAAAATACCCGACCTGTACGAGACGGTAAACAACTTGCAGAGAATCGGTGTTAGTTCTGGTGCACATTTTTTGAGGATAATGGGTGGGATTCTATCAGGACCGTTAGCCTTATTCGTTTTGAGACCAAGCAAAATTCGTCTGATAGTGCGTTGACGGAAAACGATTTCGGGCATTCGACTCTCAACCGGTGGAATGTCTGGCGGCACTTTTCCTTGGGAATCTGTTAAATACCCGCTAAACGCCTCGACACATGTTTCGCTAACTATATGAAAGCATCTTCAGGAGAAGTAGAACAGTGTAGTGTGTTTATCGTGCCAAAGGTTCCAGTCTTCGATATACTATCATGAAATAGACGAAAAATAAAAAAATTGCTATTGAAAAGAAATATTCTCAGATATACTATGAATACGAATAAATGGATATACAGGGTGTTCATTTCAGGTCTTCCCACCCCAATTATCTCGAAATGTTTTTCAAAAATCCCGAGACACGTCAACGAATGTATCGAAGGGGACAAGTTTTCATCAGGAAATGAACGCGCCCCCTTTCATTCCCTGCAAGGGGGAGCAACCAACTGCAAAATATCAAATGCGAAGGAGTATTGAATCATATACATCATTTTGATGGTCTTTGTAACCTCTACACGTCAGTGTTCCGTTTTTTGAAATTGATTGAACGGTTGTCGAGATATTTAGGAAAATCAGTTTTCTGCTGCGTATACCAACTGCAAAATCTCAAATGCGAAGGGGTATCCAGTTATACCTCATTCGGAAGGCCTTCCGAATCTCTACACGTCGGTACTTCTATTTTGAAAGTGTTCGATCCGTTGTCGAGATATTTAGGCATTCTGTTTGCTGCTGCGTACCATTGAAATTAAAACACTTTAACTGTTTTTTTCTTCTAGTTAATCACTTCCAATGTGCCTTGAAAGGTATGCAAAAGAGTGTACTTGTTAAAATGACATATTGATTTGTTCACTATAATTATCAGTTGTGTGATTTGATAAGGCACTGTAGTAAAAATGGTTTACACTGTAGCTGAAAAAGTCGGAATAGTGTTCATTTATTGCTCCGAAAATCGATGTGCTCGACGAACAGCAGCAATATTTAACGAGAGGCACCCAGTTAAGAACACCTCTCATCGGTATGTCCTCAATCTGATCGCAAAATTTACTCAGACAGGATCTGTTGCAAATTTGAAACATGATCAGCCAAGAGTTCTGACTGAAGCCACTCAAATTGAAGTATTAGGCTATTTTGGTATGAGTCCTGATAACTTCGTTACGTACCATTTCTACTGCAACTGGAGTTTCCTTAGGCTCTATCCACAAAATTACGAAAATTGATCAATTCCATCCATATAAAATGAAAATCTGTCGAGAGTAGAGTGAAGACGACTTTGACAGACGAATTGGGTTTTGTGAGCAGATGACAACAATTGACAACAATTATTAATAACAATATCGCATTTTTAAAAAATATCTGCTTTTCTGATGAGTGTTCTTTTTATTTGAATGGATTTGTCAATAAACATAATTGCAGATATTGGAACAATGAGAATGACCATGTGTTTGTCGAAGGGCATACCCAATATCCCCAAAAACTAGTATTTGGTCCATTGTTTATCAATGGAAATCTAAATGGTGAGGTGTACTTGAATATGCTAGAAAATACGATCAATCCGCTTATTACTGAAGCACTTGAAAATCAACTAGATAGAGATGGAAACACCTTTCTTGATGAAAAACAGTTACATTTCCAACAAGATGCCCCCCCTCCATTATGTGCTTCCGGTCCGTCAGTGGTTAAAAAACGTATTTCCCGGTAGATGGATAGGGCAAAGAGGACCTATAAAGTGGCCAGCCAGGTCCCCGGATTTGACACTATGTGACTTCTTTATATGGGGACATTTGAAATCAGTTGTTTACACACGCCCGCTGCAAAATTTACAAGAGCTCCAACAAGGGATCACTGCAGAATGTCAAGCACTTCGACCAGAAATGTTTGAAAATGTGCGCCACGCATGAACAGCGGTTATACCATTGCTTGGGCAAAAAAATTTTGAGTAATTACTGAAGGGACAGTTGTGTTAAAAATTGATATTCAGGTTTGCAGTAAAAGGAATGAGAATAAACAGTAACAGTTTTTATTTCAATGGTATACGCATCAGAAAACTGATTTTCCTAAATATCTCGACAACGGATCGATCAATTTTGAAAACCGAAAGACTGACGTGTAGAGATCACGAATACCTTGAAAATGAGGTATGATTCGATACCCCTTCGCATTTTAGATTTTGCAGTGGGTAGCTCCCCCTTGCAGGGGATGAAAGGGGGCGCGTTCATTTCCTGATGAAAACTTGTCCCCTTCGATACATTTGTTGACGTGTCTCGGAATTTTCTGGAAACATATAAACCATTCGAGAAAATTAGGGTAGGAAGTCCAGAAAAACTACTTTCCTGGCTATATGCCACGATTTACATTGAACTTTTCTTTTTCTACTTCTCTGGCTATTTTCCATTGAACATCCAAAAAGAGAACATGCAAATAAAAATCCTCTGATATTGAGAATTGACATTCTCTTTCAATTCGGATAAATAATATGATTTATAATGATATAAAAACATATATAACTTCTTATTTTTATAGACCTCTTATCGCAGATTCGTGATTGGGTTTTCTCCATTCAGAATTGTCTCCACGCCCTGTATGAAGGATATCAATTTTTCATACATAAAA